GAGGAGACACGGGTCGTCTTCCAGAGGAAGTAATTTTTCGGTGTCTATAATTGGGCTTATTTTTTAGAGGAGAATTTCAAAACATTCTCTTGTAAGTCTAAGGTTGTTTAAAATCGGTTGGCTTATAAAAAGGTAGAGTCTCTTCAATAAAAGTTTCTATCTTTTTTATTTTACCTTACTTTTTTTTTCATTTTTCTACAATTATATCAACAAGAAAATCATCCTCGTCCGATTCGGAATCAAGTAGTTATATCTGTAACGTAACATTTAAAATAGCAGCTTTGACAATATTATTTGCAGGAAACCGCCATATTTCTTGTTAGCGTTCGCATTTACTTTCGAACTGGACATGTAAGCTCGAATACACATGCTAATGACGTCACTTCCGGTGTTCGGAAGTAGCACTATTAGCTCAGAAGTAAACGCACCCTAACAAATGGAGTTCGAACTCAAATGTGAGTTATAAATAAACACTTGGCTTTATTTCTAACTAGCTTCCCGTCGCGCATTGCTGCGATCTCAGAAAAAAGGAAATTCAAGCAAACTCGTTATGATAAAATTCAATTTACATTTTATCATTTTTATTGAAACTTATTATTATTAGGCTATTCATTTTCATCGGGAAAACATTTCAAAGTTTCGTTACAATTCAATTTATTTATTGGAGTGTTTGTGGATACACGATATTTTTTGTGTTTCCGTCTGGTGCGTACACGAATAAATCGGAAGGTTTTCCGATGCGTGAGCCGCCACATACAGTTGTCCATGCGAGAAGCACGGATTCTTCAAATTTAGCCCATATACTCGCAGCGATTGTCAGAAGTGCGATATTCCCCATTTATATATATATATTTTTTAATCCTTTATAATATTATTTAATTGCTCCTTCCTCTCTTCCTTGGCGTATTGTGAAATTTCTAATAGTTGGATAATAAACCGTTTTATTCTAATTTGTCTTTTTAAATTATTTCGAGTCGATATTAAAATTTGGACAAGGGGGATACCTAGATCGGTAAAATACTCGAATTTCCTCCTACAACTTCGGTTGTTGTTCGGGGTACAGTTGAGGTTTTAACGAAGTTCGAGCGAATACATAATTAGCAAAAAAGAAAGTTGAAATAAAGTGATTAAACAAAAATTATTACAAATATCGTAAAGAACAGTTCACAAATGCATATATAGAGATATTTTTTGAAAGAGGGGAAATGGTCTTCACAATTTGAAATCGATCGAACACATTGTGCTCGAATGCTCGTGTAAACGCGCGCCATCTATCGTAGGATAAATGCCAGAAACCTTCCCCGGAGTATATTAAACAACTTCCCAAAGTTTCACGGCAATCGGATAAACGGTGTGGTAATGCATGAAGGACAGATACACACACATACATTCATTTTTATATACAGGCATACCTCGACTTACGTCGTTTCGAGTTACGTCGTTCCCGATTATACGTCGCTTGTTAAAAAAGTATATGGAAAAATAAAAATCAAGTTTAAGTCATTTTATTCGACTTTACGTCTGTCCGCCACAAATATTGAAGTCGTAATATCACTAGAAAAACGTTTAAAGAACGTGAAATCATATTAAAATATATACAAGTATGTACTGTATTTACAGTACATGCATTCGTAAATTTAGATTACTTTTTTGTACTATATCAAAAACTAAAATTTATTTGTTTGTAAGCTTAGAATAGATTTTTATTAACCATATATTATTAAAAATGCATTAATAAATAAAATACAGAACCGGGAATGGTAATTTAAGGTTTAGCCTAGTGATAAGTAGATTCGGAGACAAGTAAATTCGACTTACGTCGTTCTCCTGGAAAAAATTACCGACGTAAGGCGACATATACCTGTATATAGATCACTTTTTAGTTGAAACGTGACAACAGCACGTTTCGGGCAAAGAGCCCTCATCAGTCAACTAAAAGATAGATATATTATGTAATAATTTTAAAAATTGTAACAAAACAGAATTAAAATAACGTATATTTCTTACCATATCCATTCTCAATATGTTATACATACAAGGTCTTAATCCAATAGGCGCAAACAACTTATTTTACAATAAGTGGAGTAATTTCATTAGAATCTGCTATAGATGATATTTTACTTATTTCTCAATATCTTGGAATCTTAGACATAATCACGTATATATCTCGAAAAAGAAATAGACAGTTTTTTACATTATTGTTTTTTAACCGTATTCACATTACATACTGGATTGCAGTTTTGAACTGATTTGCATATTACAAAAAAAAATATTAATATTAACAACAGTACAGTAAGTACAGTATTTTTTTTTGTATTTTTATTTATAAAGGTGTCTGTACCTTTATAAATAATTACAATCGACATTAATGTATATTGTGTGTGTTATAATATTTTCATCCAGTTCTAACTTATTTTTACGCTTAAATTTTTATTGATACAATTTTTGGCTGTTAAAATTAAGACGCTTTCATGTAACATTGCTTGTTAAAAATATTTATTGGAATTTATTTTTTTAATGTGAATGTATAATGAAAATTCTTTCCAAAATTAAAAAAAAAAATACTGTACTTACTTGTCGACTCTGTCGTACTTGTCACTGCATCTGGTGAAGTTTTAGAAGCTATAAAAATCGAAATTTTTTTTTCAATTTTATAAAATAAATATTAATAATTAAGAAGTGATCATATGAACATTGCTTGCTATCAATATTTATTTGAATTTATCTTTAAAATGTGAATGTATGATGACAATTATTTCCAAAATTTTAAAATATGTATACTGTACTTACTTGTCGACTCTGTCGTACTTTTCACTACATCTGGTGAAGTTTTCGAAGCTATAAAAATCGAAATTTTTTTTTTCAATTTTATAAAATAAATATTAATAATTAAGAAGTGATCATATGAACATTGCTTGCTATCAATATTTATTTGAATTTATCTTTAAAATGTGAATGTATGATGACAATTATTTCCAAAATTTTAAAATATGTATACTGTACTTACTTGTCGACTCTGTCGTACTTTTCACTACATCTGGTGAAGTTTTCGAAGCTATAAAAATCGAAATTTTTTTTTTCAATTTTATAAAATAAATATTAATAATTAAGAAGTGATCATATGAACATTGCTTGCTATCAATATTTATTTGAATTTATCTTTAAAATGTGAATGTATGATGACAATTATTTCCAAAATTTTAAAATATGTATACTGTACTTACTTGTCGACTCTGTCGTACTTTTCACTACATCTGGTGAAGTTTTCGAAGCTATAAAAATCGAAATTTTTTTTTTCAATTTTATAAAATAAATATTAATAATTAAGAAGTGATCATATGAACATTGCTTGCTATCAATATTTATTTGAATTTATCTTTAAAATGTGAATGTATGATGACAATTATTTCCAAAATTTTAAAATATGTATACTGTACTTACTTGTCGACTCTGTCGTACTTGTCACTGCATCTGGTGAAGTTTTCGAAGCTATAAAAATCGAAATTTTTTTTTTCAATTTTATAAAACAAATATTAATAATTAAGAAGTGATCATATGAACATTGCTTGCTATCAATATTTATTTGAATTTATTTTTTTAATGTAAATGTATGATGAGAATTCTTTTTAAAATTTTACAATAAAAATACTGTACTTACTTGTCGACTCTGTCGTACTCTTTATTGCATCTGGTGAAGTAGCTGAAGCTATAAAAATCGAAAAATAATTTTTTCACTCTATACAATGCTTACTAATATTTAATAAGTTATTATACGAACGTTGGATGTTGACAATGTTTATTTAAATTTATTTGTATAGGGAAGCGCTTATAGTCATTATTAGTGTTGGTGACTTTTTTTACTCACTTTCTACAAACAACGTCTTTCTGTGAAACGTTATTCATTACATCAATTTCTAGTGCTAACAGGCTAATAATAAACTTGTTACCATTAATTCTAATTTTATTGTTGTTCGTAATGGCTGTTTCGTATTGAAACAAATCCTGGCCCTCTGCAACATTCACCAGTGAAGATAAGTCAAATTAACATGCAAAAAAGGGGGCGTGGAAGACCTAGATAGCTATATGCACAGAATTGATAAGATATAAGCCAGCTAGTGGATATTATTGGCGAAGAATATTTTTCTGATGAAGATATGAAAAATAACAAAAACACCACTAATTTATCTATAATCGAGGATTATTCCGAAACCGGAACAACTCGACTAGTTAAGTGATAATGATTCGAGGTACTCCTTAAAATTAATCTATAATTTAATTCAAGAGAATTTGAACTACTTAATCAAGAAATTCAATCAATGAGATAAGACATAAGTTGTGTACAGGAAGATAATAAGAAAATTAGAGCTGAAATGAAAACAATTATGCAAAAAATTCAGCAATGTGAAGATAGAACAAAGGCCTGTGTAAACTTAAAAAATATGTTTGAGTTCGAGTTAGATAAATTACGTAATGAATACACTAAAAGGAATTTTGTTATAATTAATTTTCCATTTAAAACTGATGATAAGCTGCAAGTACTCAAAAAATTCATTAAGATAGATCTTGACCTAAAAGACATAGAAATAGAAGGTTTAATTCAATTATACAATAATAGAAGTTCAAATAATCAAATTATAAAATTAATAACAGATTCGGTTAAAGATATAAATTTAATACTTAAAAGATTCTGGACAATGAGATCAAATATAAAAATAGAGTTGGAAAAAACTATCATAAAAACAGATCTTTGTACTAGATCTAGAATTAGAAGAAAACTACTAATCAATAAAATTAAATCAGAATATTCCACTAGCAACAGAGTTGTAATTAGAGATGACTATTTTATAAAAGATAATCTGATATACACGATTGACATTAACAATAGTGAAATAATAATAGTTAATTCTTTTTTGGGCAAAGTACCATATATTGGAAAAAAAGCAGTAGTAACAACAAACAAATTGTCTGGCATCCATGATAATAACCCATATGATGAGAATAATGATAATAAAACTGAAAAGAAAGTCTACTTAAATAAATACAGCTATTGTCAAACTAATAAAATTAAGTCCGATATAAAACTAGATAACCTTGTTATTAGTTTTTGTAACTGTCAAGGCTTCAAAGGAAAATTCCAAACACCAACAAAAAAGTTTATTTACTCTAATACAATCATGGGTTTGTAATGAATCAAGTCCGAGCGTTATTTTTATTTTTCTTTTAGTTTGCTTTTATTATATTTTTGTTTGGGGCTTATGTTTAGTTATGACGAAGGTTTCCTCACCCATCACCCAGAACAGGCAAAAACGAGAAGATAAGAGAGTAACCAACTCACCGACGACGAAACGACAGCGCCATAGCTAGCACTCGCACTCACGTGCATACCCGAGCGGCAGAATTGTAAGTCCGCACAGAAGGGGGGACACCCCATTTGACTTTCTAGGAACTTGTGTAACCTTCAAATAAACATCCCGATAATTGTTAAAGAAATGATGTAAAAGGTTAACAAGATATTGTCGAGAAATAAGCTACCATATAACGAAGAGAAAACAAGGATGTTACGTGTAGATATGTAAATGAGGGGAGTGTCTCAATTAGAACTGTGACGTCACCTCAGACTATAAGTACAGTAGCTCAGTTACAAATACCCGTCAACTTCAATCTGGCAACAGCCAGCATCTGAGCCTATGACCATGCTGCTACTCTAGTCACATCCGCTAATGTATCAAAGAATTCAAATATTTTCGGACCTTTTACATCTCCCGAAAATACCGGTAAGAGGGGAATCATTCCACCTAATCCGCCTAGCGTTATTGGATTACCAACTAACGTAGCTCGCGGAGGGTTTTCCCTATCTATATCCATTATAAACTAACTTAAAATTAACTTAAAATTAATCAAAACTATTTCTATACTCTTCCAATATGAATTCGATCTATCAATCAATCAACTATTTGTCTCTCTTTCTGAATCAGATCTCTACTATAATTATTTTTAATCCTGCTACACCAGATGTGAATACTTTTTTTTCTCTCTTTTTTCCCTTCCTTTTCCGAGTTCAAAACCCCACTCCTGAAAACCAAATGTGAAATCCGCAGAGGCGTAAGTCAAACTCTACGCCACTTACAGCGCACGATCGTAAGATCGGCTCTCACTTGAGATAGGAGGGCTAGTTGTTTACTATAATTTGATCTGAACTGTGAAGTTCAAATCCACGTCAGGTTCTTGACACCAGTTTGTCAATTAATTATTCCACGAACAAACACGCGTGATTATCTATAGATCTGATTCAAAGACTCAAAAGGAGACATTCTTTAAACGATAAACAAAAATAAATTTAATTAAAACCATAATCAATAAAATAGTAAAAATATATGATTGTAATTTGTAATCATTATCTTTTACTATCGATAATGCAAAAAAGATTATGGACTTATAATTTCCGATACACGATCGAGAGAGAGAGCTCACAATATCGCTATAAAACATACAACCTGATCTAGTTGTCGTTCGTCTTCTTCTCTGTAGGCAAGGGACACTTTGGAGATTAAGATCATTTACTTCTTCGTATAAGAGATCAATATGCACAAGTTTAGAGTATATCTTCTAAGTGCTAACTCTGGAATTATTCTATGTGACTCGTGTAAAAGCGTTGGCGTTTAGGAGCAATATGTATGGAGTCCTTACTCTTCCAAGTCTGACGAAGAACTCCCCGAATTCTGACTAATTCTCTATATATGTCACAATCAGCGACCAATAATCATGCAAAGTTACCTCCGTGAAAACAAATGGAAAGGGGATAAATGAGAAATAAGAATTTCCCATCAAAGCGAGAGTTTCGCAGATAAGGGAAAAACAGAGGATGGACTAACTTCTGTACAAGGAAGTAGCATCTGTTATCTATCTTTTCCATGTTAAAACATTATTTTTCTCATCAGAACGAAATAATATTTTATAACAAAATATTAACATTATTAATAAAATTCCTAATTTAAACCCGAGGCACATTTGAATTTCACAATATGTATGATGTAAATTACAATGGCATATTTTTTAAAAATTTACATGAAATGAAAAACACAGTACTTACTTATCGACACTGTCGTATTTGTTGTCGGTTCTTCTGTACGTTCATCAGCTATAAAAATCCAAACATTATTTTTTACGGTATTAAAAAGTTTATAAATACTTAATATGCACTTGAAGTAATATTCGAAATTAGCAATAATTATTTTAATTAATATGTATGATGTAAATTATAATGACAATTTTTTTAAAAATTGACATTAAATGACGAATACAGTACTTACTTATCGACAGCGTCGTATTTGTTGTTAATTCTTCTGTAGATTCATCAGCTATAAAAATCGAAACGATATTTTTTACAATATTGAACTTAATATATACTTGAAGTAATATCGGATATTAGCAATAATTATTTCAATTGATATGTATGATGTAAATTACAATGACAAATTTATAAATATTCACATAAAATGAAAAATACAGTACTTACTTATTGACACTGTAGTATTTGTTGTCAATTCTTCTGTAGGTTCATCAGCTATAAAAATTGAAACAATTTTTTACAGTATTAAATATTTCTTAATACTTAATATGTACTTGAAGTAATATTCAAAATAAGCAATAATTATTTTAATTGATATGTATGATGTAAATTATAATGACAAATTTTTTAAAAATTTACATATAATGAAAAATAAAGTACTTACTTATCGACAGCGTCGTATTTGTTGTTGGTTCTTCTGTAGGTTCATCAGCTATAAAAATCGAAACATTATTTTTTACAATATTGAACTTAATATATACTTGAATAAATATCGAATATTAGCGATAATTATTTCAATTGATATGTATGATGTAAATTACAATGACAAATTTATAAAAATTCACATAAAATGAAAAATACAGTACATACTTATCGACACCGTTGTATTTGTTGTCGGTTCTTCTGTAGATTCATCAGCTATAAAAATCGAAACATTATTTTTTACAATATTGAACTTAATATGTACTTAAAGTAATATCCGATATTAGAATTATTATTTCGATTGATATGTATGATGTAAATTATGATAACATATTTTAAAAAAATTTACATATAATGAAGAATACAGTACTTACTTATCGACACCGACGTATTTGTTGTTGGTTCTTCTGTAGGTTCATCAGCTATAAAAATCGAAACATTATTTTTTACAATATTGAACTTAATATATACTTGAAGTAATATCGGATATTAGCAATAATTATTTCAATTGATATGTATGATGTAAATTACAATGACAAATTTATAAAAATTCACATAAAATGAAAAATACAGTACTTACTGATCGACACTGTCGTATTTGTTGTCGGTTCTTCTGTAGATTCATCAGCTATAAAAATCGAAACATTATTTTTTACGGTATTGAACTTAATATGTACTTAAAGTAATATTCGATATTAGCAATAATTATTTCAATTGATATGTATGATGTTATTTACGATGACAAATTTTTTAAAATTTAAATGAGCTATTTTTAAGCCAGGAAGGCAATTTTCCTGCTTATCCTCCGTGGGAACGTCTCCTGAAAGAATCTTTGTTTTATAGGTGATAGGAGGGTCTTCCTGTACGATTTTTATCACTTATACACGAATGTCAAGTCTCGTATTCATAAAATAAACAAGTAATTGTGAAGAAGAGATAAGAGTCCTGTTATTATATGGGTCGATAGCTCTATGGAATTAATTACCTTTCAGGGAGTAGCAATTGTTGTCGTATCTGTTGAAGATTCGATCCTAAAATCGACGAGTAACACCCCCCAAAAAATGCAATTAATTCCAAATAAAAAGGCTTAATTTTACATTTTTACAGTTAATTACATATTCAAACACTTAAAAACACTAAAATGTGCTAAAATTTATTAAAATGTAAAGCCTAAAATCGAATATTTTGAGCCAGAAACGTTAAAAATATATCCATTTTTAAAGGCTTCTAAAGTAATTTAGACACGTGTTTTGCTATTTTAAATGGCCAAGTTTAGAGTAAATGCTTTATTTATGTTCAGTAAAGCCCTTTTGATAGCCCAAAAACAGGGATTCTTCTCTGTTAAAATGCGAAACTTGCGATGTTTCCTAGCATCTAGACAATGAAAATCTTGTAAAGATGAACTTTGGATACGTCTGATAAGATGTAATAATCGACTTTGGATCTTCAATTTTACAAGAAACGGGCAAAGATGGCTAAAAACGATAGGACCCCGGGTATTCTATAGATAATATACTATGATAAGGCACATTTGTATCGATAGATATAGGGCCTAACTTTAGTTCTAAGTGTACTAAAAATTAACTTATATACCATGGTTCTTGCTAAGGATGCGGATGCAGGAGTTGGAATATGATCTTCTCCAGCAATTCAGCATCGTTATACTCATGTAAATTGCCGAAAAATTTGATTATTTACGGGTCTAAATAATTGTATACACGAATAAATAAGTAAATTTTAATCTTATCAGTTAGAAAATCTTCTTCAAATGATGATATTCTTATGTTTTTCATTGCTCTGAATGTTTACAAGGAAAGGCCTGCTGATATAATCTGAAAATTCTAACGATTTACAGCTTAATTTCTTACAAAGCCTGATACAAACATGCATATATAATATTTATGCTCTTTAAGAGGCCTTAAAAGCTCACTTAAGCCCGAAAAATGCTATATTAAGTATACGTTGCGAGAACTCGGATATTGGATATATCATTGAAAAGATGATTTTAGGGCCTATAAATCACTTGAAACTAGGGGAAAAATTATTAATTTTTGTTAAGAAGTATTAAATTATAAGTTCTAGTTCGATTTAATTATATAAAATCTACAATAATCATCAAGAACATTGCAGAAAATATGGCTTTTCTATAAAACATACGACTTTCCACAGTAATCTAGTCTATAGATCGTTGTAAAGAGTCTCATAAAATCGATACTAGGCCCTAGACAAAGCAATTTAAAAGCAATTAGGCTTCTGCATCGTTGTACAAACAGTACCGAACTTAATGTAAGTCATTAAATTTCTTACGGGGCATACAATTAATGTTACGAGGTCAAAAAACTTAATACTAGGCCATAACTCGCTAGTTTAAGGCGCTTAAAACCTTTACTAGGCCTTAGTTAAAGCAATTTAAAGGTAATTAAGTAACCGTATCGTTGTATAAACAGTTTAAAATGTAAGAAACTTCATTAAGTTTCTTACGAGGCTTACAGTTCATGATGAGAAATTGCCTAAGAAAAAACTAATATAAAAAAGAAACTAAGCTCTAAATCTCTAATTTAAACCTGTTTAAAATCGTTATTAGGCCCCAAGTAAAATATCTCAAAGATAATTAGGCCTCTAGAAGCACTCCAANTTTCTAAATATCATAATTGTTGATTTTTTGGAATTTATTTTAACTCTTAGCTTTTCTAAATACTCACAGATTTGTTGGATTTTTCTACGAAGTGCAGCTGCTGTAGGCGCTATTAACACAATGTCATTGGCATACGATATAGTATGTATAATCTGGTTTTCAATTTGGAACCCATCTTCATCTCTTATAAAACAATTATTTAGGTCAAATAAGTAGAAATTGAAAAGATATGGGGATAACGGATCACCTTGTAGTAGACCTCTATAGGTAATGAATGATGTCGAGATATTAGTATCCTGTTTAATGATTGTCTTATATTTTCCGAACAGCAACCCTATCATATTTATCAAAAGTTCTTTTGCCTCGCATCTCTTCATTNGAGAAATTTATAAAAATTTACATAAAATAAAAAATACAGTACTTACTTATTGACACTGTCGTATATGTTGTCGGTTCTTCTGTAGGTTCATCAGCTATAAAAATCGAAACATTATTTTTTACGATATTAAACTTGATATGTACTTAAAGTAATATCCGATATTAGCAATAATTATTTTAAATGATATGTATCATGGTTTTTACAATGACAAATTTTTAAAAATTTACATTAAATGAAAAATACAGTACTTACTTATCGACACTGTTGTATTTGTTTTTGGTTCTTCTGTAGGTTCATCAGCTATAAAAATCAAAACATTATTTTTTACAATATTGAACCTGATATGTACTTAAAGTAATATCCGATATTAGCAATAATTATTTTAATTGATATGTATGATGTTATTTACGATGACAAATTTTAAAAAATTTACATTAAATAAAGAATACAGTACTTACTTATCAACACCGTCGTATTTGTTGTTGGTTCTTCTGTATATTTATCAGCTATATAAATCGAAACATTAATTTATACAATATTGAACTTAATATGTACTAGAAGTAATATCGGATATTAGCAATAAATATTTCAATTGACATGTATAATGTAAATTACAATGACAAATTTATAAAAATTCACATAAAATGAAAAATACAGTACTTACTTATCGACACTGTCATATTTGTTGTCAGTTCTTTTGTAGGTTCGTCAGCTATAAAAATCGAAACATTACATTTTACAATATTAAACTTAATATGTACTTGAAGTAATATCGGATATTAGCAATAATTATTTCAATTGATATGTATGATGTAAATTACAATGACAAATTTTATATAAATTTATATTAAATTAAAAATGCAGTACTTACTTATCGACAGCGTCGTATTTGTTGTTGGTTCTTCTGTAGGTTCGATCAGCTATAAAAATCGAAACATTATTTTTTACAATATTGAACTTGATATGTACTTGAAGTAATATCCGATATAGGCAATAATTATTTCAATTGATATGTATAATGTAGATTACTATGACAAATTTATAAAAATTCACATAAAATGATAAATACAGTACTTACTTATCGACACTGTGGTATTTGTTGTCGGTTCTTCTGTAGGTTTATCAGCTATAAAAATCGAAACATTATTTTTTTAATTATTAAAAAGTTTATAAATACTTAATATGCACTTGAAGTAATATTTAAAATTAGCAATAATTATTTCAATATATATGTATGATGTAAATTACAATGACAAATTTTTAAAAATTTACATTAAATTAAGAATGCAGTACTTACTTATCGACAGCGTCGTATTTGTTGTTGGTTCTTCTGTAGATTCATCAGCTATAAAAATCGAAACATTATTTTTTACAATATTGAACTTAATATATACTTGAAGTAATATCGGATATTAGCAATAATTATTTCAATTGATATGTATGATGTAAATTACAATGACAAATTTATAAAAATTCACATAAAATGAAAAATACAGTACTTACTTATCGACACTGTCGTATTTGTTGTC